AGTTCAGACGTGTGCTCTTCCGATCTTTCCATAATCAGCTTATCAGTATCATAAACAATTATTCTGCGCGTCGTAGGGTTCCACGTAATTACAAATGATCGCCATTCATTTTTAGATAATGGTGTGTGCTGTATTAATTATAAATGCGGCATAAAGATCTGACAATTTTTTTACATTTTCAAAGATCCTGTTCTTGGGATAATATTGTAAATGGTAAAGAGCGTAAAGTGGTTTATTTTTTCATTCGCGATATGCTTCAAAAATGTGTTTATTACACGTAATGTAAAAGAACAATGAAGTTAAGCAGAATAAATATAATATACAAATACTTACATTGAAAGAAGTTAGCGATGTCTTGCAATTTTTTACGCGCCGTTTCCCGAGTACAGGTACTCCCGTCGCGCACTTTTGTATGACGGACTTTGTATTGTTCCAACCTCCTATTATAATCCAATAGCAAGAATCTCTGGCAAAATTCTTACTGTTGCAAATTAATATTTGTGCGTCATGGGAAACACGAACCGAAAAGGGTAGCTTTACTTCGGTACTAAGATTAAAATGTACATAATCATAAGTATATTGAAGATGATCATATTGTTTAAATTCTGAAAATTTTATATACGTGTTATTGAAAGCTGTCATGAAATATATACTTTGTACTTGTAACATTTCATATTGCATTCATATTTTTACTTTCCCATCGCTGACCAAATACCGGACCCATAGGTGTTTTTAAAGAATTTGTAAAAGTCCAGTTCTGTTTATTCCATGACTCCAAGCAGCCTTCATTTGCGTTCATTTCACAATTAATTTTATTATTTTTTAATTTATTTAAATTGTGAAACTCTGAAATAATGCGCGTGTCTATAATGAATACATTACCCAAATAAATGTAAAGATATTAAATGTTATATAAACGAGTTTATAGATAATTAACTGATAAAAAATTTAGTATACCTATATGTAAAGCAAAGAAAATAATTTTTTGTAAAGTCCTCAAGTATATTTTGCTTTGCAAGTTACAAAAATGCATCAATTTTCATTAATTAACTTACGCAAATTGTTTTCTTTAGGAGAATACTCTTTCCAGGACCAGATTAAATTGTTGTTCCACACAAGGGCGCCGCCATCATCTTCCGAAAGACATATCAATTTTACATTGTCAGGTTTGCTAGAAAATGGGGATGCGCGCAATAATGTTACTTTTCCGAAAATGCGTAAAATGTGATTTGCGAGGATAAAGAACATTAGCACATTTATCGTCACTTTTTTAATTGTCATTGTCAACGAAAAACACACGTACTGTTTGTAAGATTAATGGTCGTTAGAATAAAAGTAAATGAAATAACTTAATAGAATAAATGTCTAATTAATTAAATTATTTCATATTGTGTCACTTTAAAAAAAATTGATTGTTATAATGACGTTAGATCTAATGGGATAAAAGTTTTATCCATCGATTATATATAAGTGAAATCCTTGAATAAATCACTCTTTTTTATTAAAAAACAGTGAAAAATCTTCGGCGTAGTTGGACTTTCGGCTGAGTCGTGCTGGTTTTCTGCTACTTTGTAGCTAAATCATCAAAAGATGGTACACGTGCATTTTATTCACGATAATTCGATTTAAACAAAAATTAATTAGAGAAATCAATTTTTGTCGAAACGTTTGGTACTGTGTCCGTTTTACACTACTCAAACTTTTTGGACGACAAGCAATTACTAGTAGATAGGAATTCGACTTCCTTTCTAAATTCGTCAGTTAATTCGGTGAGTAACAAAAATACCTGAACAAAATGATGTCTGAGCAGCACTCGAGTGGGAAACAAACGCACTCCAATCTATATGCGATGTTAGAAATAAAGTAACGATAAAAGTAACTAATCAAATCGTTACCGTTATCCAAAAAATGTAATTGCGTTACCGTTAACGTTACTCATAAGGAAATGTAACGTCGTTACTCATTCGTTACTGAAAAAAAGTAATTGTAACGGTAACGACGTTACAAGTAACGCGTTACTTGCCAACCCTGTATATATGTAAACATATACATGGGTTAGTATCTCTATTCAGTGGGTAGGCATTCGTGACGCCTTGTGTACATAAGTTTCGTGATTACATCACGATGAACGTCAACGTCCATTCCACGTCTAGAGCACCAGTTCTCGTCCGATCACTGAAGTTAAGCTGCGTTGGGCACGGTTAGTACTTGGATGGGTGACCGCTTGGGAACACCGTGTGATGTTGGCACATTTTTTTTCATTTTATTTTATATATTCCGCATAATTTACTAATTTTACATTTTTATTACAATTGTGGACACATTGGTTGCGACACATTCTTTTTTATAGATTTTAAAACGCATTAATATTTTGCAAATGCGGACCACGATTGGTGTTATACTGTCTCTAGACTAAAGATAGTAACATCGTGGTTCGCATTTGCAACATATTAGTTATCTATAAAGTATATATTATGGTATATTAAATATATATTAGAAACTTATAAAAAAAGTGTCGCAACCGATGTGTTCACGACTGTACAACAAAGACATATAGTTTTCCGACATTTTGCACTGAATTTTATATAGGGAAAAGTCATATAGTATTGGACACTTATAAGCTTTTTCACAAATAATTTTTTTTAAATAACTAAATTTGAATATACTACGTTCCCTAAAAAACTTTATTCTTATACCAACTCTTAAAACTCTTAAAACTCGTTTTCTTAAAATAAAAATATCTATTAGTTTTTTATACTTTTTATAGGCACTATATTTTTGTCAAGTTTTTTTGTGGAGGGTTGTATCGGACATCATATAAATTATATTATACATATAATTTTATATATATATATTTTTTTATTTTATATTATTATTTTATATTATTATTTTATATTATTGTGTAAGTATAACATAAGTTAATAAATGAAAATAAGCACTTTTTAATGTAACAAGTAAATAAAATGAACAGTCTTTGAAAATTTACATTTCGTTTTATAAAAAATAAACAAAAAAAAAATAAAAACTACATTTTATTTACTTTTTTTTGGTACAAGCATCACATTTATAAAAAAGATTGCTATTTTCAAAGCAATGGTGTGAGAATTTAAGTTTTATTAACCATATTAGGTTGTTCGATACAAACAGCAACTCATCTGTCCGGTACAACCCGAACAGCATGCAACGAAAAATCGGCTGTCACTTGCGTATTAGTCAGTAACGAGATTTATAGCCAGTTACAAGGATAATAAATGTTGTTTCTAACCATAAACTATAAACTTATTTATACTTACTTTCAGACAAGATACAATAGTCAGAAGTTAACTTTGTTCACTCAAAACAGCGGTTCAAAACACAAAATTTATTGCCATTTGGCAACACCACTGCCGTCTGTCCTAATATTGCGTCAACCGTACCCCCATCCTTCAATCAACATGCCGATAGTCTCACAGGTGCTATCTCTAGCGGTAAATGCTTGAAACAACTCTTATCCAATACTATCGCTTGTTCGATACTCCCCGACTTTCCCCTATAATTGATAATTCGATTTCTTTCGATGATATATAAGTTTCGTGATTACATTGTAACAATTGTCAACGTCCATTCCACGTCCAGAGCACCAGTTCTCGTCCGATCACTGAAGTTAAGCTGCGTTGGGCACGGTTAGTACTTGGATGGGTGACCGCTTGGGAACACCGTGTGATGTTGGCACATTTTTTTTATTTTATTTTATATATTCAGCATAATTTACTAATTTTACATTTTTTTATGTACGACAAAGACATATAGTTTTCTGATATTTTGCATTGAATTTTATATATAATGGATAATTCGATTTCTTTCGAGGATATATAAGTTTCGTGATTACGTTGTAACAAATGTCAACGTCCATTCCACGTCCAGAGCACCAGTTCTCGTCCGATCACTGAAGTTAAGCTGCGTTGGGCACGGTTAGTACTTGGATGGGTGACCGCTTGGGAACACTCTTATACACATCT